TGACAGTGGGGATTACAGTGGCAATATTTGTAGTTTATTTTTCCCACATAAATCATTTGCTAAAAGATCTCAGGAGAGATCTTGTTTACAGACATCATTATGAAGGCTGACCAAATATTAGCTTAGACAAAGCTTCCAATCCACAAGCACATATCTTGTATCCAGAAATAATCAGAAATGATCGATGTGCATACATTAGAAGTTATACAGATAATAGTCAGCAAACAAGGCAAACTCAGCAAAAGTATTGTCCTTTACTCACGTAGAAAAAATATTTATTTTTTCATGATTTTGTGTCCAATTCTGTATGTTTTATTCCCCCAAAAAGTCTGTGCTCAAGCAAATCCCCTTGTGTACCAAAGAAATAATTTGGTCATTCAAAAGGATTGGAAAAGAAATTCGCACTAAAAGAAAAATGCAGTGCTTTGAGACTTTATGCTGAATGGTTAAATTTGCCCTTTATGCTTACTAAGAGTCAAACCTTTGTTCGGAATGACCTTTCACTGAAAACAGGCCCACCTACCACTCAGAACTCAGAGCCCAGAACGTGAAACTGAGTAAGATGTAGACTATTACCTGCATTCACAGATAAATTTGCACATGCTTTAAAAAATGAATGCACATTATAATTTACCTCACAGCAAGAAACAGGAGAAATGTATAGTATCCCTTCACGCAGTAAATGGTTGAGTGCCAGGAATCAAACCCATGTATAAATTTCATGCTTAGTTTCTATATATGGTGTGGTAAACTGCGAGGTCATAACAACTGAATTCTGAATAACTCAAAACTTTGCTTACCTAACTACCCCACGTTAGATGATAGTCCCACATGTTAAATAATGGACCAAGTTGAAAAGAGAATTTCAGTTCAGGCAGTGTCTGTACCAAGCGTAAGGACAGTATATTTCAAGCAATATTATGAGAAACAACTTATGCTAAAAGGTCACTAACGGGAGTGGAGGTAAAAGAATGAAGTTAAAGGAGGTGAATATGGTTGATGTACTAAATATACAAGAATGAATACAGAATTTTTAAACCGGTTGAAATCACCATAAAAAGGGGACTAAGGCAGAAAGGAGAAAATTAGAGGGATGAACCAATTCAGGTTATAATACATATAATTTATACATGGAAATATCACAGTGAAATATACTATATAGCTATCTTAAACAAACAAAAATGTCTTTTTTCAAAAACAGAGAATAGGAAGGCAAAACAGGTCTTGTCTGGGGTTTGGTACCAGTGGAAAGGGGGAAGATACAAGGAAAGAGTATAGGAAGGTGAATATAGTGGAAATATTATTTAAACATGTATGTAAATGGAAAAATTAGACCTGTTGAAAATATTCCAGAAATGGGGAGAGGGGAGATAAAGGAGACTGATAGATGGGGGTGAATTAAACTATGATATATTGTAAGAACTTTTATAAATGTCACAATGTATCCCCAGTACAATAATAATAAAAAAAGATAGCATATTTAATTTTTAATTAACATTGTAGTTCATTTAGTATTCATGGAATGTTTAGATTGTGCTCAGTATAGGAAGCCCTAATCTAAATACTAAATATCAAGCTATAAGAATAATAATTTGCCAATGGTCAATTTTTGCTGTTTTCAAGTGATTTTTACACATTAACATTGAGATAGATAGTTCACTTTGGACCTGTTGGTACCAGAGAGAGCAAAAGCAAGGACAGATAGGGGGACTAAGAACAGATTAGAACAAAGACGTGATTATACAGAAATAGAAAAGCTGGTAAATTTTAATAATTTAGATATTTGATAAATTGTATGTCTTTCATACCATGTTAGGGTGCATGTCAAGTTGATATTTAACCAAACTGGACAAAAATCTGTCATATAGGATACTATGAAAAAAACATAAAATAATAAAAATCTTCTGTAATTTGGAAATTAACTTTTGATCAATTGGTCATTTTGGGACATTCATTATGCAGTTATTTGGCTATTAGAATGCATCAAGATTCATTGTATAGTAGGACCTCTATGCTTTTATTTTGGTCTGGAATACTCCTTTCCATTCTTTACATGGTTAAACTTCTATTTTAATTTATACCTTAAGATTTAAAGTGGTGGTTACTCATAGAATTCCCTTTGGCCCATTATCTAATTGATTCCCCTTTATTAATCTTTTACACTCCTTCACAGCACTTTTCCACTTTATATTATAGTTGCTTTCCTCACAAGACTATAATCTCCTTGAGAACAAAAACCACCTCTTTTTTTCTTTGCAAATATCTATTGTCTAGCTCAGCGATATAGTAAATAACAAATATTTATTGAATCACTGAAAGACTAAGTCAAATGTAAATCCAGATAGCTTGGCAATGTATATAGATAACTGAATCCAGTTGGCACAGTTGACCAGAAGGTTCATGCTTACAGTAAAGAACCCATGTGATCAAAGAAGGGCAGATAAGGGCCTGGGCATACAGGCTACATTCTAGGTGTTCTACAGCATTTTGGCTCTCATAGTAAAGATGAATCCCATCTTCCTCTCTGTCCCACTGAATTCATGGCCCAAGTTCCATCATGAGACCAACTTTATTTTTTCCTTGCATTAGAGTTAGTTGACTTTACATCGCTCTCATTAGAACTTTTTAAGCAAAGAGATTATGATCCCCTTTTATCTTCCAGAGTGTAAGAGTTTCCATGATATAAATTAAACATTGGTAGAAATTTCTATACACACACACACACACACACACACACACACACTGTAATTCAAAAGGAAAAAAAATAAGGTGCTAAGTAAAGTTAAGAAAGCAAGGTATCATCAGATTTAGTGTAGAATCCAATTTCATGAATTAATTTGCTCTGATTTTGCGCGTCCTGCATTTTAAGGTACTAGAAGGGATTAGGAATTCAAACAATGACTAGAATACTTCCTTTCCTTGTAAATCAATAGGCTTTATATAGAGAAATAAATCCCCATCAGTGACCTCTGGATGGGTAGCAACAGTAAGGAAACCAGGACTGACTCAGCAGAATCCCTACAAACTCCACAGGGATTTGGCAGGAGCAAGCTTTCAGGATGTAAACTTATTCCCAACAATCTCCTGGCTCTCCTTGGCTCAGTAGACCAAGCCTGTGTGCAACCCCATGTCGCATATGTGGTGCTTTTATGATAGCCTGTGTATCCCTGGTTGATAAATGCTCACAGCTCAGTTCTCCCCTCCATATCACAAACAACTCCTGTCAGACTGAAGTAAAACATCTGGAGGGGGCCCTCTTGCCAAAATAAAGATACAAAAGAGGTGCTTCTGAAAAAAATTTAGGAGCCTTGGTCATCAGTTCCCTACAGCTTTTAAGTGCTCTGCTGAGCAACTGGAGGTCATCCAGTGACTCAGAGAGCAGGAAGTCTACAAACAGATGACAATACTTTCCTGAGTGGTTAAATTAGTATTTGCCTATGGGTGTGCGGAGTAATTTCTGTTAATTGAATTAAGGAAAAAGCTACATATTACTTATATATTGTGTATGTTTTCAATAGAAATAACGTGTATACTCAGTTTGTTTGCTTTAAAAATACCTTGCCGCTATAATTTTAGCAGATGGGTTGGTAGGAAATTTTTCATACACTAAAGAATGAGAATGTTTTACTTACTGTCTTCTTTTGAAATTTAATTATGTGATTTTAATGTACTTGAATTTAACTGGTAAGGGGTATCTGAGTATTTTCATTGTATTGCCAAACACTTGTTACCAAGGCTAAAACCACATGTAGTAGATAATACTACAATAACATCTATGCATAGCTAATATTTGTTGGGTGGTCAATTTGTGCCAGGATTTATTCTAAATATTTTGTGTCAATCAACTCATCTAATTTTCACAACCTAAGATTCTGCACTGATTTTGTTCTGTTTTTTTTTTTTTTTTGCATTTTGTAGACAAGAAAATTAAGGCAAAGACAGGTGAAGCATTTTGCCCTAGTTAAGCAAGCAGTGAGCTCCAGAGCGTACCAATCTAGATGCTTTGACCCTAGAGACTGCAAACTTAACCACCAGGCTCTGCTTGCTCACTCCAAGCCAGCTATTGATTAAATGCTTACTCTTCATAAAGCCTATGAATAGTGCTGCCATTGTGACTGCCACCTAATAATGAGGGGATTAATTCAGCTAAGGTGACTCCAGCAGTAAATGCTGACCCAGGGTCTTGAACTTGGTCCTGACTCTTGTGCCTGAGATCTTAAATATATCCACTACTGCCTCCAGACAAGGAGATGTGCTTCTTTTTCAGTCACATTTAGCATTCCAGATTTGGTTTTAAAGGAAAGCATAGTGATTATCCAGTCATAATCTAAAATATTTAAGCTAATTATTAGATTTTTTTAAGCTACTTGAAATACTACTATGCTAATATTGTATCATCATTCAACAGTGCTAAAAGGAATAGTCTTAGTATGATGATAATCACACTATTTATGTGACTCCACAGAGTAACCATAATAATCTGTAGAGATTTGTGAACATTAAAAAATTTTTTAAAACTTACTTTGTCTTGCCAAGTATAAAATATTATGTAGTACTTGTTGAAACAACATATAAGAATATAACAATATCAAAACAAATCATAAAAGTATTACAAAAATATAATTTGCTATGTAACTATACATTATTTTAATTATTATTTATATTAACTTGTTAAATGAGAGGATTTATCATTTCTATCTGAAAATTTAGAAAGTATGCATTAATGTGCTAGTCACATTATGATGATCCAGTAAGTTAAAAAAAAATAATAAAAATGTTAAGTGTTTGTTGCATCACTATTTATAAGAATGTTCCTATATAGGACTGGCATTAAATTTAGAGCTTTGGCTTCTGTAAAAATCACTAGCACAGAATTTCTCTTGGTAAGCACTGAATGTCAGAGAATACAAGAAGATACCCTGAAAGCGGATTATGGCATACACTTTGGTCAAATGGTTTGCCACTCATGTCTTAGTACGAGTCATTTATGTTTTTATTACCTTTAGGTCCTTTGAATAGCTTGATTTCCACAACAGTCTCCAAAATGGGTCGCCTTCTACGCACATACAGCCGAACGATGGACCCCGCTTCTTTGAGGGCTTCCACTGCTTTACTGTGGGAAACCTCTGAGACATCAACCTCATTCACCCGCAGGATACAGTCATTGACCCTGCAAAGAAGGAAATAGGCAGGACTCAGGAGCTGCTAGAAACATGTCTTAAAGAAAGCTATCATGATTAGCTAACCTTAATATGCAGGGAGGTAACGAATATAAGAACATCCAAAATGTTCAAATTTGGAAGGACCTTAAAAATGCAAGCAATTGAATAAACCTCAAATTCCTCAGACTTCCTTGCCATCCTCAAATTGACCACATGGTCAGTCAGTCTTCATCTTGAACTTCTGTCCACTCTGATTGGGACTGTATCATCTATGTCATAATTAGAAAGATATGCCTTTTAAGATACCTGTCAATTATATCATTATTTTGATTGGTTTCAATTGGTTTGACTCAAGGTTATAATATGGGGGTTCTCAGAACTTATTACTATGGACTGTATAGACATAACAGATGTAACTTTATTGATCAATTTTTTCCAAGTTCTTAATTTTGTAGTTACAAAAGTAGTTGTAACTATTTTAGAAAAATCTGAGAAATATAAAAAATGTAGAAAGAAGAAAAATATATATATATATGACACAGTTTTCTAAAATAAAACTGCTAGCTTTCTAGCAAAATATTTTTAAATGTCTTTCCTTCAAATTCATCTCACAATCTTATAAATATTGAAGTTTAGATGTAATAAATCTTAAAGAGAGTATCAGACAATCCTGTCCCACTTACTTTGAAAACTAAGAACTAAGGAAAGTTCCAACAAAAACTTTCATTTTTGTTGTCACATGGGATGGAATAATTGACTTTTTTCATAAATCTTTCCAGGTTGTTTACAGTTAAATGGCATAGACTTCAAATCTCTGTTGTTTTCATAATATTAGGGATAATATGACTAATGGTTAAGAGCATGGGGTTTAAAACTAGAAAGATTTCATCACTTTGTATATCCATCTTAGTCTTTCGCAGGTCAGGTTACCATGTTGCTCAGAGTCAAAAGTGAGGGGTACCTGCTGCTTCACTCCTCTTTCCCACTGTCACCATGAATTCAGCTGTTCCTACAAAGCATATCCTCAATCTATCAGGTTTCTTGATTTCAGTGCTAGTACCTGGTTGAAGTCAACCTCGTGCCACATGGATTACTTCTACAACCTCCTGCCTAATAATCTCCTTGGATTCGCTCATCACTTTTGAATACATTCTCTAAAAATGGCCAAGGTACAGTGGAACATGATTGATTGCTTACTCAATTTCCATTCCCTACTTCCTCCTTCCAGAGTTCCAAGTTTGTTCAGTTAATCTATTCTTAGCACTGATTCATTGAATGAATAAAAAAAGTAAGTCTCAGTTCAATTATTGGGTCCTCCATTTCCTAAGTTTGTAATTACTGGTAACTTTCTTAATCTCTCTAAGCCTCTATATTCTTATCTTTAATCACATATGATAATAGTAATGTCTAGCATGAAGGATTTGGGGGAAGATTAAATTAGATAATACAAACTGGGTGTGGCAGTACGTGCCTGTTATCCTAACACCCAGTAGGCTGAGGCAAGAGTATTACAAATTAGAGGCTAGCCTAGGCTACACAGAATAACCTCCATCTCAAAATACAAAAGCAAATAATAAAAATTAGTAAGGTACATATGCAGACCCTGGTATGCAATAAACATGTAATAAATGGTTATTAGTATCAGTGAAATATTCTTAACTATTGGAGTCTCTCTGTAACTTTATGAAGTAAGACTTATTATCTACATTACAGAAATGAGAATAGTAATAAGTGGTTCTTTAAAGCGATCAGCAGTTTGGGCAGAGATTGAGTTTGATCTCAGATCCTCTTATTTCCATTTAACAATCAATACACACATAAACAAATGAAGGACAGGAAGGTCACACAGGTCCTATCCAGGGGTAAGCACCAGAGGGAGGGGAAGGGTAAATGGATAGGGTGATGGTGGATGAATATGATCAATGTAGTTTGTATATGTGTATGAAAATAGAAAAGTGAAACCTGTTGAAATTGTTCTAAGAAGAAGGGAGAGGGGATGAGGGAGAATGATAGAGAGGGTGAATCTAATTAAGATACACTGTAAGCACATATGCAAATGTCACAATGACCACCCCCTGTACAACTAAGTATATGCTAATATAAGTGTAAAAATGTAGGCTCTTTCCTCTTGGGACAGCATATATATTTTTATATATATGCATATAAACACACACATATGTGTGTGTACATAAATGTTTTCATTCATGTTCATATCTGTTCAAATTACAGGACTATAGTTGACCTATTTTATGAGAGTATGGGAAGAATTTTATCTTTTCTTTTGTCCCTAATTTCTCTATACCTATTTAAGGAGGTGAGTTAAATGAACCCTTGCCTCAGTGAGGATACTAGCAGCCTTATAATCGTGGGATGGAACAATTCACTAAGATTCAGAGATGTTATCCCATCATAACAGATGGTATGGCTTTAATAGGTTTACACATATACTTCCTCTCTGACTGACTAAAAAAATAGCCCAGAAAACTACCAATTAAAATAGTTTTGAGAATGTAGGCAGCACAGGCGCCAGCCGCCCTGTAGCAGCTGGTCCTTTGAGTGTGGGTAATTTTGCCATCTCATGATAATACAAAAACATAATTTTACCATTGCCTATGCTTAGAATACCAATCACATCTTAAAACACTGCTTTTCATAGCAGGGAGTGGCTGACATTAAAAAAAATTCTGGAGGCTACATCTATACAAACCATGCTAATGTTTTTCCATTTGTAAACTGTGGAATCCTTAATTGTCAATTACTCATATGAGCAAAACACAGCCTACATCACATGCTTGTTCCATAGTTTGGTGGTGAAATAGGCAGCTTTCTGTAGTACATAGAGCACAGAACTAACAGTCAGAATGTCTTGATTGGAGCCCACCTCTCTATCAGTTATGAGATCATGGTCAAGTCACCTCCTTTCATTGAAGAGAGGAAGCATGCCCAGGACTGGGGAGATGTGTAATCAGAAAGCTAATTGCACAGATGTGTGTATAAATTTTAACATACTAGAGGTGAGTTATTGCTATTGATAAGTGGGTCAAAGATGTGCTCAGAGCTTTGACTCTACCAGTAGATAACGTCTGTGTGTAAAGGAATGCCCTTTGTATTCATTTTGAAACATATGAATATTTCATTAGTTTCAAGGTCAAGGAATACTTTTGTCCCAGCATAGCCTCTATCATATTTCTGAGCCAATGTATTGGAAATCCTTTTGCATATAAAGTTTCCTCCATACTCTACCAATATAACTGAATTGATGGTCTCACAATTTCTTCTTGTGGACTAGAATTGTCCAAATGATTAAAAAATTAATGTTAATCTTTCATGGACTCTTTCTCTCTTGCAATTCTGGTATATTTGATTGCAAAAAATATATGTTAGAAACAAAAAGGATATTTTGTCACTCGAACATAGCCACAATATCACAGTAATGATTATTCAGCATGATGTATTATCTAACATGATGTAGCACTGCCAAAAAAGTCAAATAATAATGAATAGTTTATTCCATTTGAGGATATGATTTAAAATAACAGGTAATATCCTTTTTTCATAGATATCAAAATATGTTCTACTGCTAAAATAAGACTTATGATCATATACATTTTAAAGATGTTAATTTATTTTAAATGATCACCAATCATAAAACATGTAAAAATTATAAAATTTCCTAGGTGCTGGCGCCTATAATCCTAGCTACTCAGGAGGGAGAGATCAGTAGGATCGGGGTTCTAAGCCAGTCCTGGGACAAATTGTTCAAAAGACTCTATCTTGAGAAAACAAACAAAACAAAACAAAACAAGACAAAAAAAGGGCTGTTAGAGTGGCTCAAAGTGTAGTCCCTAAGTTCAAACTCCAGCACCACAAAAAAAAAATTGTAAAAATTTTCTATTCACTATGCATAAAAATACTGAAAGGAAAGAAAACTAATATGGTTGATGTACTCTCTATACAAGAATGAATATAGAATTTTTAAACCTGTTGAAATACCATAAGAAGGAGACTAAGGTAGAAAGAAGAAAAATGGAGGAGAGGAACCGATTTGGGTTATAATACATATATACATGGAAATGACACAAGGAAACTCCCTGTGTAGTTATCTTAAAGAAAAAGGTCTTTTTTTTTTTTCTTTTATAAAATCTGAGGCTAGGAGGGCCAGACAGGTGCTGCCTGGCGGGATTGATACCAGTGGGAAGGGAGAGGAGGTGAATACAGTGCAGATACTGTGTACACATGTATGAAAATGGAAAAATGAGACCTGTTGAAACTGTTCCAGGAATGGGGGAAGGTGGAGATAAAGGAAAATGGTACAAGGGATGAATTCATATATGATATATTTGATATACTATAAAAACTTTGTGAGTACCACAATGTACTCCCACCCAGAACAACAAAAAATTATCATGAAAAAGAAAAAATAGATAGCAAAGTATTTGATCTGATTCTTTGTGGGCTTGAAGATTATGCTTTTTTAAAGAAGTCTGAATCTTTTATGGTCCTTCCAAATGTGCTATAATGGACCTACATCAAAGCAGAGACACTAAGATCATGGCTTGGGAACCTTATCAACTCCTAGACACATTTGGAATCTCATCCTAGCCCTAAAACTCATTTTTCCTCCCAAAGCCTCAGTTTTTCCATCTGAAAATAGAGATAATAAGATTGCTATATGAATTAAAAGAAATAAAGCAATTGAAATGTTTAGCACAGTGCCTGACAAGCAGTAAACATGTTAGCTACTATTTTTATGAAAAAGACACAAGAAACATTTGTATAAGAGAGAATATTAGGAAACCATAGTGGAAGAAACAAATGCTTAGGGAGAGAAAGGGAGTTAAAATTAAGATGTTAAACTTTTATATAAGAGTTGAGATGAATGGTATTTTCAGAAAGAAAAATATAAAAATAGAGCTTTTAGTAAGTCTTGTTCTATGGAGCATAATGAAATTTCTCTTTCATATTACCCTTCCTCTACCCCCGAGAAAACTTTCAGTTGATCTGATAC